GAACGAGTTAAAGAAGTAGACCAGGAAGGAAATGACATGGACAAATTAACGAGGCCACGTTTATTTTCTTAATGACCTGCAGCGTATTCCAAATTTAATTTACTTTTTTTTTACTGTTGTTGTTGCTAAGTTTGTAATTTACATATTTAACTATATTTGCTTTGGAAGCTCTTAGAATACGTTTCCATTCTAACTTTATTGTAATATTGCTTTATTGTACCAGAAGGGCGTTAACGGATTCATTCTGACAGCATCCTCCGCCTTGTTTATTCGGCTATCTCTGTTTAGCGATGATGTTTGTGTGGCGTATGCTAAAGGGGCACAAACGCGATAAAAGTAGGGCGAGAGTGGCGTGTTCAGGGGGTTGGAAGAGGGAACAATGCGTGGAGGAATCTCGAAAAAAAAAAAGAAAGGTGGGCATTCCTATCCCCTTCGCATCACCAATTCACACAGCAGACAGATTGAAGAAGAAGGGAAAAAAAAAACTTTTTATCTCGGTTTGAATGATGGAAGCTCGAAATCTGACATTTGTCAGTTAATGCTTTGCGTTTGGTGGAGAGGATTTAATCTCAGTGTTCTCAAGCTATTTGTGTTGCATATTGAATTGAAAACAAATAAAAATTGAAACAAAGTGTCTCATTTATATTATAAATACATTCAACCTTTGATTTACATATGAAAAATGGTGCAAAACGAAATAGTGTAAAAAAAAACGTGTAAATCGTGAGATGAGTATATTATGTTCATTAATTTTTATCGTAATGTAACTAAATATAATTATTTATATAGATCGCATTGAACAAATGTAAATACTAAATTATATGTTTTACTTTTCAAGTAACTTGTCAAGTAGTAATGTGAATTCGCTTTTATACTTTAATAAAGAAATATTACTTACCGCTTTGCGTTGCTTGAAATCTGACACTTGTTTTAGGGTTACGTTTTTATTGTGTTTTTTTTGTTTGGTCGTTATGGTAACTTGTAGATTTGTGGCTTCGGGATTTTGGAGAAGGGTCGAAGCCGAAAAATCTGAATAAAAATTATTGTTTTGTTTTGTTTGTTTGTTTGTTTTTTTTTTGGTAATATCAATGTGTAATATAATATTTATAATAATAGGTACGCAGTTGCATTTTTCATATTTCTCATCAATGTTTTTACTATGTACAAATTATTCCACAAGAACAAAAGAAATGTAAAAAATAATAATAATATATAAAGTATAAATATAATCTAATAATAATATTATTATTTGCAATGATCGTTTTTTTTTTGCTTCGATAAATATAATACAATATAATAACCAATATATAATATAATAATTCTCTGGAGTTTATCTACACGGTGTTGCTGGAAGAAGAAAAAAAAAATAATTGAAATAATTAATCGTGTGATCGCCTCCTGCATTTATACAAGTTTTTATTTATTTTCATCAATCGCTTAAAATGTAATATCGTTTATTTTTATATATATATTTTGTTTCATCTAAATTTATTATATATATAGTATGCGTTGCGCATGAAAACTATGTACAAAAAAGAATATTTAAAAAATCGCGCGCTTTTTACTTTCCGCTCCCTCAAAATAAAAAATAAAAACAAAAGATCGCGAACGACGTTTCGCTCCCCCGAACTGAAAAAGGTATCTACACAAAATTGAATTGTCACTGTTGTTACGGTCGATGTTGTGCGGTTGGGGGAGGAAGAGGAAACAAAGAAGCCACTAGGTTGAATACTTCTCTCTTTCTCTCTCTGTTTTAATTATTAATATTGCATCGATAGGTTGGTTATGTTGGTAGCAGGGGATTGGTATCACGTGAGTCGCGGCGGCGAGAAGGGGCGGTGGATGAGTGGCGGTTGCGGCGGACTGGGTGGGGCTATCCGCACGATTCCTCCGTGGTGGCTCTGCGAGTTCTGCAGGTTCGTCTGCGGCGACGAGTTCACGTGGATGCGGAGCGGCGCTGTCAGAGGCGGAGGATTGCCCAGTCGAAGCGGTTCCGGCATACGGATGTCCGGATGCCGATGGAGCTGGTCGGCTATCCGCAGGTTGATCGGTGGCGGAGGCGGCGAGTTCTTCAGGTCCGTGGAGTCCACGTTGATGGGACTGTCGTCGTCGGCGCGCGAATAGTTGGCGGCCGTCTCCTGCGGCGAGTCGGGGCGCAGTTTGTGCGAGAGGAAAGAGTGCGGTGGCGGCGATTGCCGGTCCATGCGAAAGATGGGGTTGCCGCCGCCGAAGCGGAATTGGGCGGGCATCGGACCCGGCGAATGCGGCCCGAAGCGGAACGTGCTGATCGGCGTCGGCGAGGTCGCACCGAAACGGAGCGGACCTGGTGAACTGATCGGTGGCGAATGCGCCCCCAGCGAGATGTCGCTATCGCTGTCGGAGGTGTGCGGCGCCGGGCTCAACGGGGGCGGCCTCGGACCGTTTCCATGGTGAGCCAACTGCGCTGCCAACTGTTGCTGCTGCATTCTGTAACATAAAACAAACACAAATCAATATACATAAAATTTTACATAAAGACATTTAAAAATTTAACATTTCTAAAACTTGATTTCCAATTAATTTCAGTAGGATTATTTAAAAAATTGGAGTAAAAATGATATAAGAATATCGATTTAAAACAAAAATAAAATAATCGTATTAAGTACGGAGAGTTTCCAGGGGCGGACTTTTCGTTTCAATAAAATTGCAAAAGCTGCGAAATTCGATTTGTCGAAGATTTCCCAGTTGGACGTCCGACGATGTTATTATAATCCGTGTCTTTTGTTCTGTCGGTTTTGCGGGGTGGGCGCTCCTTACAGAAGGTTATCGACGTACCGAGTGTGCACGGTGTGTAACTTTTCGATTTTCGCATCATGCAAATTCGATTTGTGCGCCCCGAAAATTGGGTGACTGGGCGAAGAAGGGTGAACGAGGGGACGGCGGAGGCGGTGGTGGAGGCTCGGGGCGCACCATTAAAACAATCGCCGCGGCGCCCCGGCGCGAAATAAACCAATTCCCGACATAAACCGACGATGGAATATTATCATTATGCAATAATAGATTCGGTGCTCTCCGAGGGAATGGAGCTGTAATTGGATTAGCAGCGATCTTTGTCGAGCTGAGGGATGGAGCGAGGGGGTGGTTAGGATGCGAGATATGCTACTGGGGGGCAGAACTAACGACCTGATTAGACATTGAAATTACCACTCTCCCTGAGCCCTACGCGAACATCAAAAGCGAGCGCCATCCAGCGATATTTTGCTAAAATAATTAGCTCGAACTTACATCAGATGTCAATCGATATTTGACACCTTAGAGCAGTGATTCCCAAAGTGGTCTATATCGACCCCCAGGGGTCTATGACAACCTGCAAGGGGTCTACGTCAGCGAAAAAAAAAATTTGGGGGTCCATGAAATGAAACATTGTGGACCCCCACCACAATGTGGGACAATCAAAATCCCGACATTCGAAATCCCGACGTACGAAATTCCGACTGTATCGAAATCCCGACAACCATAATCCGGACTGTATCAAAATTCCGACATATCGAAATCCCGACAGTGTCTTTTATTGTAAATGATCGACAAAACAGAACATTAATGAGTTATCTTCGCGAAATAGCTGATACTGTTTCATTATAATTATTTTATTCATTTATGTATTATAATAAAGATAATTTTTAAAATTCATCGCTCGAGTTTTTTATTTCTAGAATATAACGTGGGGAGTAGAGATTATTAATTGTTGTTATTTATTGTATTTGATTTCATTGAATTATTCGTAATAATTTATTGTTATTAATATTAAATAATAGTTAAATAATAATAGATGGTGACTACGTTTCGGAATAATTTAAAAATGTTATTGTATACATTATTTATCGGGATTTCGATACAGTCGGAATATGGTTGTCGGGCTTTCGATATAGACCAGATCTCAACATACACTTGAACTTGTAAAAACCTGCACATAATGATATACCAGTATCATCTTGTTACAAGCATACGCGCAGTCTCAGAGCAAAGATCTTAATAATAAAGATGTCAAAGATCTAGGGGGTCTACCCAAAACCGAAAAACATGGCAAGGGGTCTACGACACAAAAAAGTTTGAGAACCTCTGCCTTAGAGACTGTCAAGCATAATACTTGAATGAATGATATAATTGTCAAATCATTCTGTTATTATCTTAATTAATAAATTTTATACAAAATTTGATGAACTTTATGAATCAATGATTTGTTTTATAATGCAGGACCGTATTAAAATCAATTTGAACGTGCAAGATTCGGAGTGAAGGAGATCAGAAGAATGTCTCTCTTTTGTAGTGGATGGTGTAAAAGTGGAAGTCATTAAGGTCGGTGGTGGTGGAGGAGTATTTAGCGCGTGGCACCCCGCTGTTTAAGGGGTGGTCTGTTTGTGCTTCCCTCTTAATGCTCTCCACACCTCACGGCCGTAAGCCGCTTTGCATTTACCAAAAGCACTTACAAGACCCCCGAGCATCCAGCCAGACTTTCCAGGGATTTGGGTCTTGCCCTGCATCCCTTTTTCCCTCCGCCACCACCACCCGCCTTCTCGTTCTGGTCCGTGCGAAACCGCAAGAAATTTATGAACCCGCAAACAACCCCCATTAGTTGATTTCTGTTCTCTCTCCATCAAGGGAAGCAACACCACATTGACACGTCTCGTTTATGTTTATTTTGACAGTCAAATCTCTTCACATTTGACAGATTTCTTGTAAACATATTATCAGATTTTTTTTTGTAAAAACAAAATTCTTTACGTATTTCTATATTAAATTTCATATTGTTGCATATTATAATGAATTGTTAAGTTTAAAGTAATTACAAAATCGTTGAAAGAACTTTGCATGTCACGTCAGGCGGTGAAACAAATGAATCGTGTAAAATAAATGATGTTGTTAAGTAAGAAACACAGCGTCATTTCTCGAATTATTTTCACAATGCGAGTAAAGTAAATGTGATAAACGTGTGTATAAAGTATTTAAAGGTATGCATCTGCAAAATATGCCCCAGATGTAATTGCTTCGGCTCCAGTGCGAAGTAATCCATCTGTCAAAGTACAGCTGTCACAGTGTACGAGTATACCAACATGTTTCGAATGCTACAATGAAACAACGTGAAAGCTTCAAATCCAGAACAAATACGTCTATGCATACACACACACTGCATGTATATTTTAAAATAATCTATTTTCATCTACCAGTTTATTATTAGGATGCAGTGCTAATGTGTGTATATGTATATTTTTAAATAGGTTATTTGCATCTTTCAGTTTATATTAATGTAAATAATTGCTGCTAATATGATTAAATTTAATTAATGAGAAGGCTATGGTTTTGTGTATTGAATAAATGAAACAATTAAACGTCAAATAATTGTCATCTGAAAATAGGTTGGTAAAATTTATAAATTACTATAGGAATAAACGAAATTCATGCTGAGTAGGTTGTCAAAATAAAATAATTAGTGTCAAGTCGGTACAACTTTGGAAGCGTTTCATGACTTCGTGCAGTGCGTAATTGCGTGTTATGGATATCCAAATGTTAAGAGCAAAGCAACAATGGTAAGTGAAGAGTAAAAAGCTGAGGGGGTCACCCTGCGAAATTGGAAGCCTGATTATCTGAATCCAGCGATCTGTGATTTATGTTTTTTTTTTCTACTGTAGCGCCCCCCGGGGATTCCATTATTGTTACTACAGACACATATACATATACGCAGATCTGGTTCTTATGGGTATGTACAATGGGGGTAGTAGTGGACAAAAGGGCCCATAGCTGCGTGTCGCGTTCGCATTGAATGGTGTCCGCGGGTGCACAAAGGGCCTCGGCATCGATACACGGCAATTAGGGCGGTCCGCCAGTCATGCGATACCATCAGAGAAGGCACAGTTAAAAAGCGAAAAAAAAAAGAAGAAGAGAGATCAAGCAATTTTTAGATTTTGTTTCGTTCCATCTCCTTTTCTCTTTCAATCTTTCTTCTTTTCTTGGTGGGAAGATTTGTTTAAGGCAAATATTGTGTGGCACCCCACTTAGGGTGGCGCCCCCGCATCTCGAAAAGCGGTAGACGTATTTGAAAACACTTAAAGTTTGTTTTGTTTATTTAAATAATAGTGGAAGCGGGCAGTGAAAATACCGAAGGATGTTAAAAAGAAGATGAGGACAACCGAAAGAGGAAGGAGGAGAGAAACTGAAAACCGGCAGTCCTGTCTCCCTACTGTGTTCTTTGTAACCAGAGACTCGGATAGGTCGCATCTGG